TGGGTGGGTTGGGGGGGTGGGGTGGGTGGGGGGGGGGGGTGTGTGTATGTGTATGTATGGGGGGGTTAAAAGAATAATGTGACACTACCTTTACTAATTATTCAGGCCCTAAACTGAATAGCAATGTTAAAACTGAAAAATTTTCTTTTTTTTAATGTTGCATTCTTGCATACATTGTTGCAGTCACAATCAGTGATTTTTACAGCAAATAAATACTTTGTTCTGGCTCCTCATGTTTCTAGCTCCACCTCATCTCATTGAGAAGCCCCAGGATGTCCAGAAGCTCATCGATGACTCGCTGGTGTGGGACTGCAAAGCCACGGGGAAGCCCAAACCCTCTTACAGATGGATGAAAAATGGAGAAAACCTCGAGTCTGCAGAGGTGAGATGTGCCAAAAGATTTTACGCCTGAAGCTGAAGCTCCGCCTCCAAATTTAGGCAACACAGCTTTAGAGCAAATATCTGCATCAGTCCCAGTGCCACTAAAGGCAAAACCCAAACATGTAGCGTTTCAAAGCTTAACTGGACCGCTTGATCATCCTAACCTGCAGATTGTTATATTTTATCATCTCCTTCACAGCAGCACAGTTCCTTCTGTGCAGTCCCCTGTTTTTCTCTGGTGTTGATGTCACTCACTTCCACAACAAAGCTTTAGAATAGTTCAGCTGTGTCAGTCTGGAATGCTTTAATGCGCTAAAAGACTAAACAGGGCATGTGTTTAATGGTAGTCTAGAAGCACAGCGATATGGAAGTGATGCTAATCGTCTGTTAAATCTCTTCTCCATAAGTCCAGTTAATATTTCTTACCCACCAAAGATGAAAAATTATCATTTCCTGTGTGAGCACAGCAGATGATACATCCTCTTAAAGCTTACTCTCTCACAGAGTTCCCGCAGGAGATGCTCTGTCTTATGTTAACCTTTGAACACAAGTATGATTTCTTTGTTATTTATGTTTGATTATTAAATCAGTTCGTTCTACAAGGTTACTTGGAAGAGACTGATTGTCCACTCTGGCACAGCTTGTGCCTAATATATAAACCAGCATTATGCTAATTTGTTTCATTATGCAAAGAAAGCTGCAAACTCACTGGAAAACACAGATCAGGGCTTAAATGTTTTACATGAGGTAGAAATTAACTCAGTCTGTCGCTGTTTTACCAAAACTCTGCACAGTTTGCATCATAAAACAGATTTGGTTTGTTTTAAAGGAAATACTACGAATAGTCTGTTTAGCCAACAGTAAATATTTTTATCAGCACATTTTATACAGTGGGAAAAAAATAACATTCTGTTTATTTTAGTTTTTAAAATTAGTTATTTAATAGTCACAGGGAAAAAAGCCAACATTTTTAGTGTTTTACATTTTAGGGCATATAATATCTGTTTTTTTTTATTTTTTTTACAAGATTCCAAAATTACTCAAATTGAACATGAAGAAAATCACAGAACTGATTTATCCATCGTAATTTATTAGACACAATTTAAGCCAAAATGGAAAAGCTGTCTGTGAAATATTATATCCACAGGATTTATGAGGTTCAGTATCAGCTGATCAAAGTGATATTTTACTGCTCATATGTATTGATTAACTGATCATCATCAGTGAGGTCACTGCTATTTAAGCAAGTGTTTTGTCAGTCAATTGCTGCTCTGGAGCTTACAGGTGTTCGTTACCACAATGCCAAGGTGGAAAGACATCATCAACAATGACCTTAGAGAAGCAGCTGTTGCTTTTCATCAATCTAGGAAAGAAAAGATCATTTACAAATAATTTGGAGTCCATCTTTCTATAAAGATAATAGTATATATAGTACAAGTAGAAAGCATTTGACAGCTGCCAGTCTTTCTAGAGATGAACATCCCAGTAAATTCACCTCAAGGTCAAACTGTGCTGTGCTCAGAGAATTGTCAAAAAACCCAAGAGCCTCACTTCAGACTCTACAGGCCTTGGATATCATGGTACAGGTACCGATTCATGACAAGACAATAGAAAAATGGCTGAACAAATATGACTTATTTGAAAGGGTTGCAGGAGAAGCTGTGGCGACCTATGGCCACGAACTTTGCAAAGTGACTGTCGGGAAAATTTTGGTCAAGGTTTCTGGATGTTTTTTAGCTACTATGGCTGAAAATGTTAACTGCCCATGAACCGTGTGTTTGAGTTAGCAGAGAGAACTGAATGAGGAGCTGATTTGATACTGGATGTGCAGCTGGTAACTCCAGGGCTGCCTCCGGGTCTGTAAGCTGGGAAGCCGAGGTCGTTGTGACCTATAGTGGCTGATAAGCGTGTATAAAAAGCAAAAGGGGTTGTAAGCTCAATCATTCAGGTAGACAACAAAAAAGGTTCAGTTGTGTCATCTGGATCAGTGTCTTTAAGGGAAACTGGTCCAGAAACAGGGAACCACGAGCAGAAACAGGGATCCAGAAACAAGGAACCAGACCAGGGTTTCCCTGGTCCAGGGAAACAAGAAACTGGTCCAGATGACGCCATTTAACATTTTTTGTTATTATAAAAATCACTTCTTGCATACTGTCTGGGGCAGATCCTCATGACTGGGTTTCAAACATGTAACTTTGTACATGTGTGTTAAGTCTGGTGTGACCATCTGTTCTTGCAAGTAAACTCAGTTAAATATCTTCTCCTGTTGTCGTGTGTGGCTCCTTTATGTAAGATAATGTGAGGATATTTTTATCCAACAGTGAACGAAAGAACAGGATCAAAGATACAGGTGGATGAAAAGAGTTCCCTCCACAGGGTGGACTCTCTCTTATGGTGAAAAGATCAGTTCTCCAGGAGAGACTCTGAGTAGAACTGCTGCTCCTCCACATCGAGAGGAGCCAGTTGAGGTGGTTTGGGCATCTGGTAAGAATGCCTCCTGGACACCTCCCTAGGGAGGTGTTTTGAGCAAGTCTGACTGGGAGGAGACCCAGGACACCCTGGAGAGACTATGTCTCTCAGTTGACCTGGGAATGCCTTGGAATCTTCCCAGAAGAGCTGGGAGAGGTGTATGTGGAAAGAGATGCCTGGACCTCCCCGCTCAAGCTGCTGCCCCTGTAACCTGACTTTGGAACAAGTGGAAGTGGATGGATGGATGGATTGATGGATGGATGGATGGATGGATGGCACTGTTGCATCTGAATGGACAACAAAACTGTTGGAACTTTGGAAAGATAAGTCCTATGTTGAATTGTTTTGCCATAACTCCCAGTATTGTATTCAAAGAATACCAGACACAGCACATGAACACAAACACTTCATACCAGCCGTTAGCACGGAGGTAGAGGGGTGATGATTTGGACTGGCTTTGGACCTACAGGATCTGGGCTCCTTGCAGTCATTGAGTCAAACATGATCTCTTCAGACCAAAATATAATCTTTCTGGCTTTTAGGGATAACATTATTCTATGTTGTCAGCTTTAACCTGTTATCATCAGTAACTTTGTGTGTGCATTATTTTTTTATGTTTAACAATTTAAAATTTAAAATATGATTTTTTTTATTTCATATTTTGGATTAATTGTTAAAATAACAACGGTTTCTTTGTATGTCTATGTGTTCTTGCAAAGTTCATCCATCCATCCATCCATTATCTTTTACCCGCTTCTTCCATTTTGGGTCACGGGGGTCGCCGGTGTCCATGTCCAGCTGTCACTGTGCGAGGGGCGGGGTACACCCTGGACGGGTCACAAGTCCATCACAGGGACACATATAGAGACTAACGAGACAAACAACCATTCGCTCTCTCACTCACACCCAGGGACAATTTAGAATTTTCTTGCTAAATCAAATGGCTAAAAAAAAGAAAGAAAAAAAAACACTTCACGAGACATGAGCCGGGGTTTCGGGAGGTTAGAGTCAATTGTGGAACAATCTGTCCAACATCTGAAGCTTGGACCAAACTGGGTCATCGTGCACCAGAACAACGGTTCTAAACAGAACAACTGAATGGGTCAGAAAATAAACAAGGTGCTGAAGGGACCAGTCAAACTGCAGAACCTCAACCTGAATGAAATGCTGTTGTGGGAGTATGAGAGCTGAGCAGAAACAAAAGTCTGCAAACCTCAGTGAACTGAAGAAATGCTGGAAAGAAGAGTGGGACAAAACTTGTCCACAGCCATGTAACACACTGATAAATCCCCTAAACAAAACAAAACACAAATTATTAAATTTTCCAAACACAGATTTCACATTTCACCATTGTTTCTGTTGATTAAATCTTGTGTAGAACCTGGTAAAAAACAGAACATTTGTTTTCATCCTCTGAAATGTAAAACCAGAATTTAAAAAAAAGGTTTCTTTTTTCTATGACTGCAGATTTCCTTACCTTAAATCTTTATTTTGTACATCACTTTTGTCATGTCTTAATGTGATTTGAAAACATTTATATAAAAACTAAATCTGGCTCTGAGGCAGTAGGTGATGTGATTAAAGGTTGCTGACGTTCAGGCAGCAGATTTCTCTTTAATATAAACGTAATAAATGGATATATTCAGGATGCATGGGTGAGTGGATTAATCAGCAAAGGTGCTGCATTGTTTGAAATGCCACCATTAACCACAGTGGCTTAATGAGTGGAAGAGGGAAAGGTCAGCAGAGTAAGAAGCAATGAGGAGAGGCTGCAGCATTTGTTGTTTTTGATTTACTGCGAGTCAATAAAGGCTGTCTGATTTCACTAGAACTTATTTATGCTGATAGTTTTATGACTCTGAGCTAACAAGACTGACCACTCATTCAGCCCTTTCATATCTGCTTTTATTTTATTATTTAGTCTTGTTTTGTATTTTTTCAAATTCATTTTTTTAAGAATTTTAAGTTATGATCCAAACACAAGGTGTTGTCTTATATAGTGGAATAATAGATTTTTAGTAATTAAAATAAAAAAAATGAAAAAAAGTTCAAAGTTTCATTCATCTTTTTTCTTTACTCGCTTTTCAGTGCAGGGTCAGAGGAGCTGGAGCCAAAAAGTTTCATGAATATTTATCAAGTTCTACAATATAGCATTTTTAATAAGTATTTTAATGCTTTGGTATGTGCCTGTAAATCATTTATAAATCAAACACAATCCCATTTACCCGTTTCAGATTAGCTCCTTAGAGATATTTGAATCCTTGCATGAAGATTTACCAATATTTTTACACCGGATGCCCTTCCTTATGCAACCATCCACCTCTGAGCTTCCACAGCCCACATGTGTGGAGCAGAGGGATCACATCTAGGGTGTCCAGGGAGCAGAAGGGGAATGCAGTTGTTTTCACACCTGATAGTCTGGTAGACTCGGTTCGGTTGGGGACCAATATTCATAACATTTTGTTTACATTTGAGCTGGTGCGTTTGCATTCACACTGCACTGTGCAGTCGAGCCAACCTGTTTGAGTCAAC